CCCCAAAACCCCAAAACCCCGATTCTCAGATATTTGATAATCAATCAATCTTTATTAAATTAAAATATAATCTGACAAATATCTAATATCTTATATAAGAGAAAGACTCTTAATAGAAGTGGACACTAACTCAATCTTACTTGCTCTTTTGTATTCTTTTAGTCTTAGCCATTCTCTTGGGTTTCTGAGGCATCTTCTCCTTCTCACTCTCAGTGTTATCACTTAATTCAGCATTACTTCTAATATCCTTGATATTCTCTTATTTCACATCCATCTGAGTATTTTCAGTCAGCGTATCTTCTTTCAGGTCTTCTTCCTTGGTCATTAGGGTTGATTCAAGTTGCTACTTGATCATAGCCTGCATATTATGATGGGCATTATCAATCTGCATCTGCTGCTGAGCATCTTCATCAATATCTGATGTTCAGTCCTCCAGAGTCATGTCTTGCAAAGATCTATCCAGAACATACTGAGGATTGCTAACACTAGCTCCTGCTACTAAACCCTACTTCATGGTTCTCTTAGATTTAATCATGTCTAGTTTAGCAAGCAATGCATCTTCTAGCTTCATGAAATGGTTGATCTTCTCAATGGTTGATAGTTTACTCTTAGGGTGCACAATCTTGTCAATGTCATAAATCTCAACTGAACATGGAGGCGGGAGTTTGATTTGCTCAACCTATTCTGGGGTTAGTCCATACTTTCCATGGTTCATGGCTTAGAGTTAAGCTTTCTCTTCAGGAGTCAGTTTCCCGCCCTAGTTTACCAGGAACCCCATTTTTCTGATGCCTTACTTCCTTCTGTTATCAATAGCTATTCTGTCTATATCCACATGCAGGTTCATAAACTCAGCCAATGATTGTTGGCCTATTATTCTTTAAGTCTAAAGATAGCACTGTTGAATAGACTTGGTTGGCAAGATGCCAGATCTAATTTGAAGTCAAACTCAATTATAGTTTTTTACTTACTTTTCCATTGCTGTCCATTTGCCTATCCCGAATTTCATCAATCCAATCTTGAGGACTTCTACTTCTTGCTGTGTCCAGCCTGGGGAGAGTGCATAGTTCCAGAGACTCTTAGACTCACAAATGTTCTTCTTGTCCTTGTTTCCAACTGAACTTAGGGGAAGCATCTAACTAACTTGATGTTATCAAACACAAATACTAATTATAAGTTTAACTACAGTTTATTATTAAATTCCAATTCAAAATAGAACCAAGATTTGCAGTTCGGGGTTTTGGGGTTTTGGGGTTTTGGGG